AAAAAAAAAAAAAAGAGGCCAGGAACGGTGGCTCACGCCTGTAATCCCAGCACTTTGAGAGGCCGAGGCAGGCAGATCACGAGGTCAGGAGATGGAGAACATCCTGGCCAACATGGTGAAACCCCGTCTCTACTAAAATACAAAAAAATTAACTGGGTGTGGTGGCACACACCTGTAGTCCCAGCTACTCGGGAGGCTGAGGCAGCGGAATCACTTGAACCCGGGAGGTGGAGGTTGCAGTGAGCCAAGATCACGCCACTGCACTCCAGCTGGGCAACAGAGCAAGACTCTGTCTCAAAAAGAAAAAAGAAAAGAAAGAAAGAAAGAAAGAAAAAGAATATTTGGCCAGGCATGGTGGCTCAAACCTATAATCCCAGCACTTTGGGAGTTCAAGGTGGGTGGACTCCCTGCGGTCAGGAGTTCAAGACCAGCCTGGCCAACAAGGCGAAACCGTGTCTCTACTAAAAATACAAAAATTAGCCGGGTGTGGTGGCGGGTGCCGGTAGTCCCAGCTACTTGGGAGGCTGAGGCAGGAGAATCACTTGAACACAGGAGACAGAGGTTGCAGTGAGCCAAGATTGCACCACTGCACTCCAGCCTGGGCGACGGAGCAAGGCTGTCTCAAAAAAAAAACATTTTAAATGGTATGAAATGTGCCACAGCAGCCCAAAGAGTCAGAGAAGCTGAAGCCCATGATACCTTCCTGCTGGGAGCTGTGTCAATGCTCACTGATGCCGCCTGCTTTGCCCAAGGAACTACCTGTTGCTGAGCTCATGTGTCCACATTCAGCTGCATTTTAGGGTCATGGGCATGGCCATCGATGTGCCAGTCTGGGTGTCAAGGCCCAGCGTGGACCTAAAGATCTGCATGTATGACCGGCTCTACCAGGACTCTGTACTCGTGCACACGCGGTGAGCCCCCGTCCGCCCCTGCACACGCGGTGAGCCCCCCGCCCGCCCCTGCACATGCGGTGAGCCACTGCCAGCCTGTGCGCAGAGGGTGAGCCCCCTACCCACGTGTACAAGCCGTGAGCCCCCCGGTGACACAGTGCCTGGGGTGGCCACGACTGCTGCCCAGGCCCCGAACGTCACCCTCTGTAGCAAGGCAGTGCTCAGCAGACGTGGTTGGGCAGAGTGACCTTGGTGGGGGTGACCCAGGGTCACCTGGGAGGTGCCAGTGTCATCATGGGGGCCGTCTCAGGGGGAGGCAGGAGGGTCAGAGTCAGGCGGATGTGGAGACACCACACAGCTGGCTTCCAAGACAGCGGAAGGGCCCCAAGGCCAGGACACTACAGCTTCTGGAGACTGTGAAAGGGGAGAATAAGCCTCTCCCCAGAGCCGCAGAAGGCACAGCACTGCCCACAGCTGGGCCTTAGCTCTGTGGGCTCCATCTTGGCCTCTGACCTCCAGGATGCGGAGAGAAGGAATGCGCCTCTTTGATGTGGGGTCCTCCACTGGGGCAAGTCCTTTCAGCAGCCATGGGAAACGCACTGCCCGCCTGGGCCCGGCCAGTGTCCTCAGCCCCTCGTGCACACAGGCAGGGTGAGCGGCCACAGGAGACCCAGAGCCAGAGGAGGAAGCTTCCACGTGCAGAGTGCGGTGAGGGCTCCAGACACCAGAGCAAGCAGCCTGCCCTGAGGAGCCACGCCGGCGGGAAAGGCAGACAGAGGCGAGGCTGGGCTTGCAGGGTCTCCAAGATGGAGCCCCAGTGCTCTAGCACCAGGAGCATGGCACGGATGCGGAAGCCCCCGGCCCTGGCCCCAGCCCCAGGGGCAGCCACTGCCAAGGGTGACCTGGGTAGGAACAGCTCCCGCAGCACCTCCCTCCTGCTGTCTGACTCCTGTGGGCCCCTGCACAGGCCAGGAATGTGCAGCCTGCAGGTGGCGGGGAGCCAATGCAGGTGTCAGCGTCATGGCTGCTGTGAAGTCTGCTCACCTCTGGCATCTGTCCTGCCACAGCCTCTTGATGGCCTTGGAAACATGACAGAAAGGGCCCTGGTGTATCTGTTGGGCACTGGGCGCTGGGTGGGGCCCAGCTCTGTGGGTGGTCTCTGGCTGTGGCTCTGTGGGTGGCCTTGGGGGCTGTCGTTGTGGCTCTGTAGGTGGCCTCTGGGGCTGTGACTGTGGCTCTGTGGGTGGCCTCTGGGTCTGTGATTGCAGCTCTGTTGGTGGCCTCCGAGGCTGTGGCCTCTGGGGCTGTGGCTGTGGCTCTGTGGGTGGCCTCTGTGGTTGGAGCTGTGGCTCTGTGAGTGGCCTCCGGGGCTGTGGCCTCTGGGGCTGTGGCTGTGGCTCTGTGGGTGGNGGCTCTGTGGGTGGCCTCTGTGGTTGGAGCTGTGGCTCTGTGAGTGGCCTCCGGGGCTGTGGCCTCTGGGGCTGTGGCTGTGGCTCTGTGGGTGGTCTCTGGGGTTGGGGCTGTGGCTCTGTGGGTGGCCTCTGGGGCTGTGGTTGTGACTCTGTGGGTGGCCTCCAGGGCTGTGGCCTCTGGGCCTGTGGTTGTGGCTCTGTGGGTGGCCTCCAGGGCTGTGGTTGTGGCTCTGTGGGTGGCCTCCAGGGCTGTGGTTGTGGCTCTGTGGGTGGCCTCCGGGGCTGTGGTTGTGGCTCTGTGGGTGGCCTCTGGCGCTGTGGTTGCAGCTCTGTGAGTGGTCTCTGGCTGTGGTTTCATGACCTCAGTGTAGCCACGTGCTGGTTTGCACAGACTCTGGCCCTGCAAGGGAACTGGAAGGCAGAGCAGCGTCTGCTGCACAGGGAGAGCAGGGTCTCTGAGCACCTGGGCGCCCGCCTCACATGGGGCCCCAGCAGTAAGGGTGCAGCGGTCGGCGTGCTGGGACACTGTGAGTGCCTCTGGATAGGGGTCTGAGGTCAGAGGCAGGTGTGAGGTGGACGGAGACGGGGCTACCGCAGCATGGGTGGCTGTCACGTCGAAGCATAAGAGGGAGGAGAGATTTCCACTGCCGCACCCTCCACATCCTCCCTCGTGGATTGCCTGGGGTGGCTGTGGTAGCATGGCCACACCACTGTGTCTAGCAGAGGCTCAAAGACAGGGAGGGGCGGGGCCTTCACTGTGGGAACAGGGAGGTCCAGGTGGTCCTGAGGAGGCTGTTGGCTTGAGAGAGCCGGAGGCGGAGACCAGATGCAGGGCCTGCCGGTGACTGCTGGGCACCTCGGCTCTCTTGGGCTGGTCTTGACTTGGAAGCTGCCACCATCAATGAGGCCTGTGGCCGTCCCAGGCCCCCACATGCCCCATGCTTGAGCTGCAGGCTGTGGGGACACCCTGCGCAGGAGGCAGGCAGAGCCTTGAGGGAGGCGGTTGCACCCCTCGTGTGCCCTCCAGGGCCCTGCCCCCAGGGGCTGCCTGGCAGGTGCTCTCCCCGGAAAGCACTCCAGCTCCTTAGAGCCGATTAGGGCCATGCTTCCGTTTCACTGTGGTTATTTTTAAGAATTCCTCATCAGATTTCATTTCAGAAAAAATAGCCCTTACAAAGCAGGGCTTTGAAGACTGATTGTCGAGGAGCACGTGCGTGGCTTGTGGGGGGCTCTGGGCACCTGTCGGGGGCTTTGGTATTGGGAATGTTTTTGTAACTCCAAGCATTGAACAGGCACAGTCACAGCTGTGGCGCCTGACCCAGTGCCCTGCGGTGCGTCCACAGATCGAAAGCTGCTCTGCGCCTGAGGTTTGAGGTGTGCACGGAGCTGAGGGCCCACCTGGAGCTCCTCCCTGAGACGGGCTACATCCAGGCACAGTCCTCCTACTCCGTGCAGCTCAAGTTCCTGCCCCGGTAGGTGCTGGGACCCTGGGGCCAGGGCAGGAGGGCGTGGGAGGATGTGGGCTCCAGCGCCTCTCGCCACTGGCCGCTCCATTCTTATTGCTGCTGGGGTCATCAGCCTCCGGGGATGTGTTCTGGGACAGAGGCCAAACACCGGGGTGGTGGGGGGGCACAGAGGCCAAACACCAGGGCGGGGGCGGAGACAGAGGCCGAACACCAGGGCGAGGGGGGCGTGGACAGAGGCCGAACACCAGGGCCAGGGCAGGGGGACAGAAGCCAAACACCAGGGCGAGGGGGGCGCGGACAGAGGCCAAACACCAGGGTGGTGGGGGGACACAGAGGCCAAACAGCAGGGCGGG